GCACAGCTTGGTTTCCGTTGTTTGGGTTTTCTGTGACTGTATTCCCGTTGGTGCATGTTTCCCTGTTTAAATTTTTCCTCCCTAGCCCAACAAGGGAGCCCCCCACCAGTTGTTTTTGGAAATTTTACCTCACTATTGCTATTGGGTCCTTTTTTTGCTTTTTCCCTTGGTATTTTTAGTTTGCAATTTTGGTTTTATTTTCTTTGACTACACTTGTTTCCCTACTATGGTCCTGCCCCCCTATGAGGTCTTTTATGTTTTCCTTCTGCTAAAATTCCCCGACACCTGGACAATATCTCCGCTTCACCTTTCGGTCCCCCAGGAAGATCTCCAGCTTCCCCATTTCTGTCTCCCAGGACAGCCCCTCCAGCTTCACCATTACTGTCTCCCAGGACGTTTTCCATTTCACCATTTCTGTCCCCCGGGGAAGCACCCCAGCTTCACCTTTTCTGTTCCCAGGACAGTATCTCCGCTTCACCTTTTTTCTCCAGGACAGCACCTCCAGTTTCACCATTACTGTCCCCCCGGGACAGCACCTCCGCTTCCCATTACTGTCTCCCAGGACAGCACCTCCGCTTCACCATTACTTTTCCCCCAGGACAGCCTATCACCCCCCATTTACTGACTACCAGGACATCACCTCCAGCCTTACATTTTATAAATACAGGCCAGTATCAAGGGCAGTACCATTCACCCCGCATTTTATGTTTCCCATCTTTGGTAGAAAGCTTCCAGGTTTCTTGAAAGCAGCTTTGAGTTGTCCTCTTTTAATCCCCCTTTGATTTTAGCCCACAGTTTTTTCCTCATTTGAGCTCCCCCAAAAACACTTCTTTTTTAAAATTTACTGCTTGATAGTTCGGGGATATTGACAAGGGGCGTGACCCTTTTTCCCACAAAAATGAAAATTTATCCATGTGGAAGCCCGTTTGTTTGACGGGACCACAGATACACAGGCTTTAATAATGATTTAATGGTTGATTACTGCAATTCTACTAGAACCTCTTGAAAATTCTTTAAAAACCTTAAATAAGCCTTTGCTTTTTGTATTTCTGTTTCTAATCTTTTTGTATATTGGACAGCTTTCCCCTCAGTTCCTGTTTTTTAATGTTTGTGTTTATGGGCGCCTCAACCCCATCCTTTTTTTTGGATAAACACTGTGTCACACAAAAATTTTTTATTTCCCCGAAATCTGGTATAAAACACGGTTGTAAGTCGGGGGTGTAAGCGGCAGGTCGTAAATCGGATGGTAGGTGGTATATAATATATTTTAAAAATATAATATATTAAAATAATATTAATTTTATATATATATTTTTTATATATATATATATTAATATATATTTTTTTGAAAGTATTTTCTTTTTTGGGGGTTTTCTTCCCTTTTTTTGGGGCACCCTGCCCCGAGGGAGCGACCAACTTGTTTAAAAAAAAAAAAAAAATTTTTATTGTGCCCATGAACGAGTGGTACGATAAAAAACAACACTGTGACTAGCCAAAGACAGAACCCATGTGCTTTGGGCCCCCTTATGGGGGTGTACTCATGAGCTTTAATCCACTGGACCATACAATCCTTTAAACCCTTTCAGGGGCGAGAGGCCCTCTCGAAAATTTTTTTTCAAAGGTTTTAAAATTTTCAGAAAAAAAAAATGATTTTTTCTTATGAAATGATAGAGAATCTTTTCCCGATCATAATGACACCAAAACTGTGAAATTTAAGTCTCGACAATGTTTACGCATCGGCGATTTTGCCCAATTTGAGCCCTATTTTTGGTTAATTCCAGTGTACTAGTTGACAAAAATCATAACTATTTCGCTAGAGCTCCAATTTTTCTATTGAATGAGTAAAAGAAACCACCCATTTACCGATTTTAACTATTCAATAAAGTGGTCAGAAATTAGCAATTTTGCCAATTTCACACAAATTTCAAAAGATGCCAATTTCCAAATAGGGTCCAGAATAAACAATAAAGACATTCCTGGCACTAAAATAACATTTCCTCTGTTCATTAGTCATGTTCCCAGGCCCTTCTTACATTTCTTTTGCTTTCCAGTTTGAATTTTTATTCTCACAATAAATAGAAGATTTACTGTTATGCAGACTACTGCATTAGTGTAGAAGTGGTATAAATAATATCAGCACACTTGTAAAAGGATATTAGATTCACCAGTTGACGTGTATTGGATGCATGGCATGATTTGTTTACTTTTGAACTTTGGCAAAAATCAAACATTTCTGCTAATTTGAGCTCAATTTCAAGGTGCCTTTCATTGTGAAACCAATCAAAATTGTCTCAATTTCTGTAATATGTCTTCCATTCCATAAAATGAGACCAGAAAAACTAGAATACAACCATAAATACCATACGAAAATACAGTGCAAAGTTGCTGTTTTAAACCAAAAACACGCTCAAAGTTTTTTTTTTCTCATTACACACAGTGTGCTGCAGGATTTTTTTTCTCATTACACACAGTGTGCTGCAGGATTTTTTTTATACTGCAGCACACTGACCACATAAACCCATTCTTTCATATGTAGGCCTACCAGCTTTCTCTCACTAGATTTGAGGGCACTAGAATTTAGGCATACTAGTACGTCAATAACCCTGGTGCGTAAGCTGTACTAGTACGTCAGAAACCCTGAAAGGGTTAAGAGTAGTGCATCCAGCAGAACTGGATGTTGTACTCGCTACCCAAGGACATACAATGGTGTGGATGATTCTAGGCTAATTTCATTCTAGTCCCTGTTTGGTGTACTAGTACAACGAGCAGTATTTTATATTATTGTGCCCACGAACAAGTGGTATTGATCAATAGCAACATTCCGACTAGCCAAGGACTTGAACCCATGCTACTTTGGCCTGCCTCATGATGGGCAAAAACTCATGATGCCTTAATCCACTGGACCATACAATCCTTAAGAGTAGCGCATTCAGCGGAACTGGATGTTGTACTCACTACCCAAGGACGTACGATGGTGTAGATGACTCTAGGCTAATTTCATTCTAGTCCCTGTTTGGTGTGCTAGTACAACAAGCAGTATTTTATATTATTGTGTTGTATATATACATGTATAGGAAAGATAGATTCTTGTTCTCAGGTACCCATAATTTATGTGAAACATTAACATTTGGCTGGCATAGTATTATAGTCATTAATAGGTTTAATCATCTTGAGCACCAATAACCAAGTAATAGACAATAACAGATAAAATCAACTGTATATTCCACATCACCAAATCTAGATTATAGCTATATTGTCAGCAAATACTTATTACTTTGTGAACAAGTTGAACTAGTAATACTGAAAAGAGGTTGATAGTGTGAAACTGTGACCTGCTGCTTATATCTTATATATGAAGCAATGAACACTTTATTCTGAAGTTGTGATGATCCCAGGAGTTCCTCAGCTTGAATTGATATATGATTTAAAGAATAAAAAGGAACAATAATGTGCCTGTAATTATACACAAATAAGCTGCACAAAGGATATACTATTGATGATGTTTTGGTCCGAATTGCACCATTATCTAGGCACACACTGTGTAACCAGTTAATGGTTCTGGTTGGACTGAAATTTCATCATAAGTTTCTTTTTACTAAGTCTGAGTTATTTGTGTATGATCTGTGATTTGTTCCTCTTTCATCTGGGTTGAAAGCCCAACAATATCTACCAGTCAAATGGTAAAGTAGCCACTGCTGATGATGTGATGCACGCTTTTCAGTGGTTCATGCCAGAGTTCATATTCATGCACTTAAGTTTATCAAAGAAAAATGAAAATACTTGCCCAATCTTATTTTTTATCATGCGCTCAAAAAGCGATGTCTCTAGGTTGAACTTTTTAGCAAGTTCATATACTGTTGCACTAGGCTGCAGCTGCTGATGGTCACCTGGGAAGAACATGACAATATTATTATTTGACTGATGCATTATTATTATTAAAAATATTATGAAGCAGAAAAATAAGACTGCTGCAAATACGCATACTTTATTTCTTTTATGAAGTGCATATATAATGTAGTAAAATATGGTTAACCACAAAAGAAAGCCAATAGTATGCAGTATTTAAACTAGGAACTAAGGAGAAAATTGCAGAACTCAAAACTCTTTGTATGAGCAAATAATGGGGTAATACACGCTTTAAAATATGAGGTAAGGGATAACATAATGGACTGGGCATACCTTTTTATAAGTTAAGGAAAGATCTCATAACATTATTAAATACTGTATTGAATTAGTGAGTGTGATATACACCTACCATCCGACTTACGACCTGCTCGACTTATGTCCACTCGACTTACGACCGTGTTTTTTATGCCAAATTTCTGGGAAATAAACAACTATTTGTGTTGTACACAGTGTTCATCCTAAACCTTACAGTATAAAATACAGTACTAACAGCATAAAAAGTGAAGTAAAACATGAAATACCAAAATAAAACAATAAAATAAAGTCATTACAAAAATGTTTTGTTGATATTCAGTAGTAAAGTTCGACTTACGACCATTTTGACTTACGACTGGTTTCTTGGAACCAAACTCGGTCGTAAGTCGGATGGTAGGTGTGTGTGTGTGAAATATATATATATATATATATATATATATATATATTATATATATATATTATAAAAATATATATATTATTATCACCACACACACACCTACCATCCGACTTACGACCGAGTTTGGTAAAATATATTATATATATATAAAATATATTTTTATATATATATATATATATATATATATATATATAATATAGGGAGGTACCACCTCTAGAACTGTCATAGGGACCCTCATCCTCAGAGAAAAAAAATAAACTTGCTTCAGGGAAAACTCAAGGTTTTCCCTGAAGCTGTTTGAGAATTTTCTCCTACCACCCCCAATATTTCAAATATGTTTTATTTAAAGACAAAAATACATTGGCCAAACATTCCCCAAAAATACAAACAAAAAGTTAAAACAACATAGGTAACTCAGAGCTACATCTCGAATACTTCGTCCAGCTCCCCTGCGGGGGGCAGCGTGCCCAAAATGCTGCAGGCATTTCCTCTCTTGATCGCAACACTAAGTCTCTGAAAGAGAAAGCTGGTTGCCCTGTGGTCCTTGGTTTCTATGATGAGCTTTTCACCCAGCTCTTTGAGGAACTTTTAGAGCACACTTTGCCCCATGCTCCAAGGGTCTCCGACCTATTGGAAGGGAGTTTAGCAAGGGGGTAGGTCTTCATATTTTTCAGATCTTCTGGGTCTCCTGTGGCTGGCAGTTTCCACCCCCTTCCACTCGGAGTATAGCAATTAGGTGTCTGCCAATGTGGCAGCACAGGTTGTAGCCCCAGGCAATCTGCTTTCCATCCTTCCAGGGTAGCATAGTGGCTCCATCAGGATGCTTTTGACTTCCATCAGACCTCTGTCTTGGGGTTCCGTTGAGCTGGGAAAACGGGCTGGGGCAAGGCTTCTCTTTATGATGTCATTCACCTCCCCATGTCTGGCATACTTCCCTTCTGCTGTGTGACACACAAGACCATGAAGTCCGAATTGATCAGCTGTCGCCCTGCTGCAAATACACCTATGTTCGGTGAGGATGGGGGCAGCTAGGCGAAGAGCAACACCAATCCGAATGGCCTGTGGGTCGAGACGGGTGCCAGGGAGGAATTGGGAATAGCTAACAGGAAATCTCCTGAGTGTGGTGCCTTCGCTGCCAGGGAGACGAGCTTTGTCCTTTCCTGAAGCATTGGAGAGCATTGTGTTGGCGTTTTTTTTCCATAAATCGGTTTGTCCCAGTGGGACTGTTTGTGCTTTTTTGGGAGGAGCTGGTCTACTGGAGGAGTCTGTAAGGGGTCCCTGAATCGGTGCTTCAGTAAACCGGGGGCCCTTTGAGCCTACCACGTCTCTCAAGCGTTCGGGAAACCCATCTTCTTGACTAATGCACTGGAAGCCAAAACACGAAGACAAAAAAGCAGGTAAAGCAACATGCGATGCTTTACGCACCCCTATACCTCCAAGTTGCACTGGGAGGGTTGCCTGATCCCATTGCTCATCCTCTAGTGGCAGGTTCAGTGCCTTCTTAAACGTTGATTTCAGGTGTGCGTCATATTCATCGAGTGTTGGGTTGTCAAAAGAGGGTGCACACCTCAAGAAGTAAGTGAGTCTTGGCATAGTAAGACACCTTATGAGGAGATACAGAGCATCATGGGCATCAAGATCGCTTATTCTCTCCTCCATTCTCATCAGGTCATTCTGGGAGGATTCTTCGCACAGCATTGATTATTTCCTGGTTCGCTGTGATGATTTCACACTTGGATGGATTGAGGATGAGTCCCAAGTCTTCTCCCTGTGTTTTCACCAGTTGTAGGTCCCCCACCAGAGACTCTTCAGTACCTGCCAGAGTGCCGTCATCCAGGTACCAGATATTGAGCTCACTGCGTAGGCTGGAAATTAGTTCTCTTACGGCCAAGCAGAAGAGAAGTGGAGCGAGTGGGTCACCCTGTGAACACCTCTGATGATTGAATTTCATGTTTTTCCAAACAAAAGAATTGAGGGTTTGCTGTAGCCGGCTGAAATGAAGGGAAAAAGACTTGGGAACCGATCCTGAACAGCTAGCAAAACAGCATCTCTCTTCACCATATTAAAGGCATTTCTGAAATAAGTTTGACTTGGGCCTTGTCTTCTGGTAGGTCCCTGATGTAGGCCCTTGCAGCATGAGCTGCAGCTTCACTGCCTGAGAGACCCCAAAGCCCCGTTGGTGTGGCTGGAGTAAAGTGGCAGCTTCTAGGCGAATGTTTCTCATGCTGCTTTGGCAACAAGACGGCGAAGGGTGTTTCCAACTGCAATGGGTTGATTCCCCCTCCCTCTTCTTTTTAAAGCACATAGGGGAGGCTCCGAAAAAGAAAGGTTTAATTTCTTCTGGGTTCGCCCAGCCAGGCAATTGTTGACGAAAGTTTTTAACTCAGTGAGAAGAATTGATGCAGATTCACCGAGTATGGATTTACCATCTCTTTGAGGTGCTGATGTCGAATTCCAGTGTAACCTCCTGCAGATTCTGCTGGAAATGACACAATCACCTTATAGACTTCCGATTCTGGCAAAATTAATTGTTCAATGATGGGTTCTTCCTCAGGGTTGTCGTTGATGGCTATGGTGTCCCTGGTTGGATTTCTTGGGCTCTTAGTGCTTTGGCCATGGTCTCATCCCTTTGGGGGGTACAGTGTCGTCACTTGTAATTATTCTTATTGCTCCCACTGTGTTACCTTCTTCAATTTTTTTTGCTAACCTGTGCGCAAATTTTCTCATTTTCAGTGGGACTTTTCTTGGGTCTACCTCTTTGATTCCTGCAATGATGGGGCAGAGGGACGCAGTTGTCCGTTCTTGGGTAGTTGCGCACTGCCTTGATAACTGACGTGGTTAGCAGTTTGCCTCGTCTTTCAGGAACTGCAAGAAAAGACATTGCCGAAAAAGAGTAGGTTGCACCATGCTTGGATGGTGCCTCGGGCTTCTAAGTTGGTGGA